TGATAAAATTTAAAATCTTAATTGAGCTGTTTAGTTTAAAAATCTTTTTTTAGATCCCCATATTCACTGTTAAAACACTGGTTATATCAATGTGTTTTTTAGTGATATCACTTTATAAATAAAGATGATGCATAGAATTGCTCTGGAATGTTCCTTTTTTAAACATCAGTAACCATACAGCTGTCTCTCAATTTTACATGATAGCATAATACACACATCTCACCTTGTGAATCTAGTAACATATCCAACTATCTTAATGTTCTCTGTATATCCTGGGGAATAATTTACTGGTGTAAAAACTTAGTATCACTCTGGAAATACCACTTTGGAAGAAATAAGGTTGATTATACATTTTCGTGATGTCCAGACAAAAGGTAGCAAAATTATCAAAGTTCAGATCGCTCCTTATCTTTTACAGCTGCATTTGATTAGCCATATCTATCAAGTAGTAAATTACTACTGACTCATTTTAAGGAAAAGAAATAACTAAAACTTTTGTTCTGGTATCATTACAAAAAGAATTCTTCCTTCAAGCTCAGTTTGTAAAAGGCATAAGAACTTTAGAATCTACCGATTAACAAATGAGACACAAGAGCTGTCCTCTTAGGTTATCCAGCAATCCCACTGCCAACACAGGCCAGTTCTTGATAGTATATAGTTGAAATGAGTTTTAAATTACTCATAGTACAGCTTCTGCTATTTCCTGCCATGAGAGAGACAAGATTTCTGTAGTAGGCCTACACACCATTTTGCTGGGCCCAGAACAAATTAATAATACAGACTCCATTCCATCGTATAGAGACACTAATTAAAGAACAAAAGTTATTTTTGAAAGGGCACACACAGACCATATCACTTTACAACTTAATTTTTCTAACTTTTCTAAATTTATTTACTTGTGAGTTCAAACTGAGTAGAATAAAACAGCAAGATAAATATTCCTGTTCCAAATAAAATATACATTTTTGATTAAACTTTTTTCATTTTCATCTTCTGCCAGTTACTGGCATGGCAGCGTGCAAAAATGTTTAAGGCTGTGTACACTAGACTGAAAATTAGATGTGTGTTGTTGTAAATCTCATTAAAGCTGTGTCTAGACTGCAGGGTTTTTTCGAAAAAAGTAGCCTTTTTTCGAAAATACTTCGCCTGCGTCTAGACTACAGCTGCGTTCTTTCAAAATTAAATTGAAAGAATGCGGCTTTTCTTTCTACGGTGATACTCCTCATTTCACGAGGAAGAACGCCAAAGGCGTTCTTGAATGCAAACAGGGCTTTTTCGAAAGAGAGCATCCAGACTGCCTGGGTGCTCTCTTTCGAAAAATCGGCTCACTTTTTCGAAAGAAGAGGTTGCTGTCTAGACGCTCTCTTTCGAAAGAAGCTTGTAGTCTAGACGTACCCTAAGATCACTAATGGCAGTTGAAGATCCTTCCCAAAAGTAGACTTGCCCCCGTCTCTTAGAATCTTTTCTCTGTTGTAAGAAGTCTTACATTTGAGACACTCCAGGAAAACTATGACCATCAACATCTTTTGGTATTGACTTCCCTACCTTCTATACTTCTTCAAAATTCTGTACACCAAATAAAACAACTTTTGACTACCCGTCTAAAGTGTTTAGACTGCAATCCTGAATTATTTAAAAAAAATGTATCAGTAAGTAATGTGGCAACTTTATCTTGCTTGTTGAAAACCTGAATCTCATGATGATATTTTGTGATTACCTTTGGAAGTCATTAGAGTGGAATCCCCATTCATCTGGCTGCTTTTCTTCAGTTTCCACCATCTCTGTATTGAAATCACAATGTTGCTGTTCTTCATCCAGTTTTCCACATTGCTTGATCCTTGCTGTTGAGAGGGCTTGTTTGGCTAAAAAAAAATTACCTCTAATTGACATCCTTCCAGTGTCTGACATTTCTGGTTGGCCAATTTGTATTTATAGCCAGACATAGCAGTGTGGCATACATTAATAATATACAACTGACAAATGCCCTGCAGGCAGCCTGAATTTACCCTTTTAGGCAACCTGAAGAACCAGCTTTAATATTTAGTCAACCTCAAACATCCTGAATTTTAATTCTTATGGTGAATGGGCTTGTGGCCCTCTACCTGGAACTCTTGTAGGATTAGGCCTCAGTGTATCCATTTGTCCCCACTTTAAGTGGGGCCTGCTTAACTGAATTTTAAAAAAAATTCTAGCTTCTATTACCAATAAAGCCTACACACATTTATATTTTGCATTGCATTCGAAACCGACTAGTCTGCCTTTAGTGAAGTTTACTTTTTAACTCAGAGAGCATGATTGCCTCTGTCATGCCTGTGGATACATCTACACTCTTTAAAAAAAAAAAAACCCAGCAACTCAGGTTTAGACTGCCCATATTGCTAACTAGCAGTATGTCAACACAGCAAAGTTATTTTGAAATAACTCTTAGCATCTACTCAGCCAAACCGCTATTTCGAAATAAATGCGAAATAGTGGAGTGCTTATTTCAAATTTGGTAAACCTCATTCTACAAGGAAGAATGCCAAATTGAAATAGCTATTTCAAAATAAGTGCCGTGTAGACGCTTATTTTGAAATAGGGGGCCTCCAGCCTTTCCAGGGTGCCCTGGTGGCCACTCCAGCCTCAACCAAGAACACTCCTCTCTCCCCCTCCCCCCAGAGACCTTAAAGGGGTTGACTCTGGCCACAGTGCCTGTGCCAGCCCCAAGCCTGCTAGCCCAGAGCCAGCAGTCACTGCCTGATCCACTGGCCCCAAAACATGAGCCAACAAGCCACTGGCAGCCAGCCCTCTGCCACTCCGCTAGCTCCCAGGAGCCTGCCAGGGCCCGGAGAAGGCGGGTACCTTCCTGGTCCAGGGTGGAGATCATGGACCTTATTCAGGTTTAGGGGGGATGCCCCCCAAAGTCCATGATCTCCGCACTAGATGGAGGAACATGGCCATCTATGGCAGGATAGCTGCCAGCCTGGCCACCAAAGGCCACATGTGAACTCAGGAGCAGGGTTGCATGACAAGTTGGTCCAGCGAGACTCCCACCTCTGAGCTTCCCCTCCCTCCCCCTTCTTCCCCTGCTTCCCCCCCCTGCCTCCTTTCCCCAGTCCTTTCCCCTTTCACCAGAGTTTAATTCTCCTTCCCCCCGCCAGCTTTATTAGAGTTTGTGTTCATGAAAATGTGTATTTTATTTGACATCAGGAAGGGGGGGTTAGAGAGGGGTAAGTGGGAGGAATGAGGTACAAGCCCCCAGTGGGGCAGACCACGGAGGCTCTTAGTGCTCCTCAGGATGGAAGCTCTCCTTCAGGGCCTCCTGGATACTGACAGCCCCCTGATGGATCTCCTGGAATGCAGCCTGCAGAAAGTGCAGCCAGGCTCACAGCAATCTGTCTGGGAGAAGCACCAGAATGCTCAGGGGCAGCTCTGGCTCCATGTTGCAGAGTGCTGTGGTGCCCTGAGGGCAACCAGAACACAAAGAGACAATATGCTTTGCTGTCCCTCATTGAGGTAGACAAGCAAGCAGGGAAACCTGAGAACTGACTGTCTGGGAAGGGGGGGGGGGGGAGAGGGGTCCCTTTAAGCATAGATCTCAGGTAGCCTCAGGCAGCAGCCCCACACAGTAAGTCCTGACCTAGTGCCCTGCCGGAACTGGTTCCAGACGGCCTTAAATGCAATTCAGAGTCCACTCAGTGTGGACGCGCTATTTTGAAATAGCAAAATGCTATTTCGAAATGCATTTTGTGTGTAAATGCATTATTTAGACATACCCTAGGATAGTAGTGTAGACATGCCAACTACAGTTTTTTAAACTCATAGCAGCAACTCAAATTCAACTCCCTGCTCACATATAGGCTTTAACAAGTTTGTAACCCAGAAACTTTGTGTCTTCCATACTGTTTTAACATAGGTTAGCGAACTTCAGTTAAGATTTTTTTGTTTTGCAGAACTCTGAACCCATAATAAATCCCACTAATTTGTTGAATATCTGAACAAAGGAAACATCATTCTCAGACCCCACAGAAAATTGGCAATCTGGAGTACTTCCTTCAGTGCTTGCTCTAGTTTGTATAGCTGAGACTGCTACCAAGGGGGTCACTTGATCCCGAAATTCTGTACATAAACCAGAAACCTCTCCTGATCTTTGCTAAATAAAACTCAGATGCAGGGTGTCAACTCCATATCAGCGTACAGGAGTAGCTTATATTAGGGATGTAAAAAACAAATTAAAATACTAACCGTGTAACTGATAACCATGTAACCAATAAAAATTCTAAGAGCTACTGAGGCTTCCCCTTCCAGGGCTCCTGGCACCATGGTTCTGCCAGAAACTTCATGCAGATTTTTACTGGTAACCAATAAGCTGATGCTTATGGGTTACTGTTATCTGGTTAAACTATTCTATCTCTATCTTATACTGCTATAAACTCAGAGAAGAGAGTTTCCATTGTTACTCAATGTACTGGTCTGTGATTAGTATTTTTAACACTTAGCAATATGTGTTGTCCTTTTAAAGGTTGGGCTTGGGCAAATTTTAATGTCACCTTGAAAACTTTCCCTGGATCCTCTGGAATGAGTAAGGCCTGAATAGCATGTTGAAGTACAGGCAGTCCCCGGGTTAAATACAAGATAGGGACTGTAGGTTTGTTCTTAAGTTGAATCTGTATGTAAGTCGGAACTGGCGTCCAGATTCAGCCGCTGCTGAAACTGATCAGTTTCAACAGTGGCTGAATCTGGACGTCACCTTGAAAACTTTCCCTGGATCCTCTGGAATGAGTAAGGCCTGAATAGCATGTTGAAGTACAGGCAGTCCCCGGGTTAAATACAAGATAGGGACTGTAGGTTTGTTCTTAAGTTGAATCTGTATGTAAGTCGGAACTGGCGTCCAGATTCAGCCGCTGCTGAAACTGATCAGTTTCAACAGTGGCTGAATCTGGACGCCAGTTCTGACTTACATA